TGAAGTAGCCAAGGCAGAGTGACAGACGTCAGATGCAGAGACTAGAGGAAGTAGAACTTGGTAAGGGGCTTAGATACATTTTGGGTGGGATGGAAACACACTGAAATGTCTTGATCAAGCAACTGCCACGATGTCACTTGTTTCAAAAAACACATTATACTTTGAAGACGGAAGGGGAGCGGAACAGGAATAAAGCCTACTGTAGTAGTCCAGGTGAGAGATGATGGTTGGTTGTTCAGATTTACATGGTAGCAGTGAAGGTGGTCAGTAGATAGGTAGAGTATATTTTAAGGTAGGCTCGTCAGGACTCACTGATGGCTATGGCATGGGTGAGAAGAGAAGGGAAATTAAATGAGGACTCCTAGTGTTGGGACTGGGTGACTAGGTTGCATTTATTCAGATGGAATAGAATGGGAGAGATATGGGTTTGGGGGAAAATCAAGAGTTCTACTTTGACCTCCGCACTCCCACTCAAAAGAGGTGAAATATTATATATCTGAGATGGATGTCAAGTAGGTGGTCGGGTATGAAGTCTGGAGCTCAGGAGAGAGATAAATACTAGAGATAACACATGGATGGTGTTAAACGCCATGGGACGCACTCATCTGTGGAGTGTAGCTATAGAAACAGAACCAAAGGCTGAGCCCTGGGATATTTCAACATTTAAGAGTCAAAGGAAACTGAGAAAGGTGCAGTTGGGAGGAAAACCAGAAGGGTGTGGTGCCCAGTGAAGAAAGTGTTTCAAGAGTGAAACAAGGTGTGATCAAGTGTCAAATGCTGCTGAGAGGCCAAGAAGGTATCATCTAAGTTAATTCAAAGTAAACAGTTCTCTCGGCTCTATTTCCTCACAGTGCTTTATTTGTACTTTTCTCATTGCAAATTGTACAGTTGTTTTTGCCTTCTCTCCTCTTATAGAGAAGGTCCTTTAAGGTCAGAGACCGTGTCTTACTTTTCCTTGAACTTCCACTACTCTATTTGCTCAATAAATGTTTGTATAAACAGATGAATCATGTAGAATGCTATAAAATCTAGGAGAATATGCCTAACACAGAATTAGCAATTAAAGCTGGTTTCATTGAGATGTTCTAAATGTTCTGCCTCCAGAATAACAAGTGAGTTTTGTTCTGCCTAGAATGAAAACTGTCCACCATACATCTGAGTTGGATTACTGACAATCACAACCCATAAGGCATTTCTGTTCTTGTTTGTTTGTTTTTGCTTCACTATCTCGTGGACTATCCAGTCCAAAAATTAGTTTTTACCTGATTTGCTCCCTCAATTTTTAGAGGTGGCTCCAAGACCTGGTGATACCTTCAGAGGTCATCAATAATTTTCTCTGTCATACTTCACTTAGTATCAGCATCAATACAGTACAACAGACATCAGGATAAGTTGACATTTCATATTATATTATAATGAATTTCAAAACAATGACAAAAGGAGCTATGGAAATACAGGCAGTGAGCATGACCAAACTCTTCAGGGAGACATGCTTGAGATGGCATACACAGAAAAAGGCTGGTAGTCAGGAGGTGACAGATTTCCCTTGGCTTTTACGAAATCGTTGGGGTCAGATAGTTTCTAGGTCAGTGAATTACTGTCTTTGTTAAAAAAAGCTAAAAACTAAGTTTTGAGTAACAAGAATATAAAAACCCACGTTATGGGTATGACCTTTCAACAACACACCTTACTTGGAAAATATGCACTAGGTAACACAAAAAGACAAAGTCGTCAAGTCCCAAACAAGTACAGCTAGAGATCAGAAATACCTGCTCTACGTGCCAGTGCCACAGGAAACCACCCATCTGTGAAGCCAGTCCCTCTCTGCTTGACCTCAGCCACACTCTATCTGGTGACTGATAACAGAATACCGTGTTTCAGCTCCACGGCTCTCTTGGCTATTTTTTTTTTTTTTTTTTTTTTTTTTGAGTTGGAGTTTCGCTCTTGTTACCCAGGCTGGAGTGCAATGGCGTGATCTCGGCTCACCGCAACCTCCGCCTCCTGGGCTCAGGCAATTCTCCTGCCTCAGCCTCCTGAGTAGCTGGGATTACAGGCACGCGCCACCATGCCCAGCTAATGTTTTGTATTTTTAGTAGAGACGGGGTTTCAGTATGTTGACCAGGATGGTCTTGATCTCTTGACCTTGTGATCCACCCGCCTCGGCCTCCCAAAGTGCTGGGATTACAGGCTTGAGCCACCGTGCCCAGCCTCTCTTGGCTAGTTTTATGGTGACTCCCTGAGAGCAAATACTCTCCTTGGATTTCTATTTAACTCTCATACCTACGAATTGAGAAGAGGTTTTCTCCAATCCATTGACAACTTGCCTGAGTTTTAATATTTGGATGGATGTTTCATAAAGAAAACTGATGGTTAATTCCTAGCCCTTTCACTAAATCTTACTCTGGATGTGATCTGTCGGATTATGGCACCGCGGAGCAGACTATGCACCCAATACTGACATTATGAAACCTTAAACTACTCCACCCCCTGCAAACAGCACATTACTTGGCATGTTTTATTCAGTATTACAGTACGTACTTGGGAGATGAATTTCAAGAGTGACACTGACAAAATGGGACATATTTGGAGGAAGGAATGAACAGACTAGAGCAATTTTGTTTGGAGATGAGTCAGACGCTTGAGAGCTTCTTTCAAATAGCTAAAGAGTCGTCAGGAAGGGAAGAGTAAGATTTATGCTATAACTCTAGGTCATTAGGAGCTAATGATTTAATGCAGTCTTTCCCATGCTAGAGTTCAACAGGATGTTGTGATCCTAGGAAAGAAAAAATAATTCTATGGTCAAGAAAGTTTGGAAATGTTCAATTAAATAGCTCTTATTTTCAGAAGTAAAGTTCTAAGCAAAAGCAAGACACAAATCACTCATTTATGAAAAGGTCAGAATTAATAAATACCTCCAGATGCTTGGTGAGAATAGCTCCAGTTTTGGGGGCTGCGGTGATGTTGAAACAGAAGGTATGTGCTGCGGTCTGCACTGCAACTAAAATGAATGTGGACTGACGCAAGGATCTGGTCCACAGTGGTTCCTACTGAAAGTAGTCGATTTGAGTAAGCAAGTCTTCATCACTAATGCCAGGCCGAACCAAGTGCACTTTGTATACTGATTTCTAAATGACAAGGTTCTATTTTTATGGCTGGTATTCTTACCAGAAAAATATAACACTGATTATAACGTTATTAAGTGATCCTTCTTTTCTTCTTATACACAATTGTTAAACATCAACCGTGTGCTGTATACTCCACTGAGAACTGGGGGCAAAAATGGAAAATGCCTGGTAGTACTTCATTTATCCTTGAGATGTAGAGGTGAGGAAGCTACAGAGGGAAAGTCAAATTAATCACTTTCAGAGGAGTCAACTGATATGTCAAAGCGCACTGACATCCCTCAATCTTCAGATTTGTCTTCATCTCAGTTTATCATTCTAATATAGTGACAGTTAATAAAAATGATTTTGCACTTAAAAACCTAAGTACCTAATGAGCTACCTAAAAGACCTAAATACCGCGTCTTCCATTCTATGGTTACTACATTGTGCTACTAGATTTCACAGCCGTACTATATTTGCTAGTAAGCATGGAGAATCAAATTTATAACTCATGTTTGATAATGTGAAAGATGCTTTTGTCAAAGAAAGCTACATAGTAAACACATTTTTATAATGCCCAAGTTTCTACTTAATCTCAAATGATCCGAAAAGGAGCATGCCTCTCTTCTTTCTTCTCTACCATCCCTGTAATTTTTAATATTTTCAGACCAGGAGATAAATACATTTAGAAAACAAGAGGATTACAGAACTTAAGCAAGCAGGTATTCTGATGAACTCCATGCAGTGACTGACAATGAATAGGCTCAAATATTCCTGAAAATGGCCACACTTGATTTTCCTATCATACCCCAGGGTTCTACATTTGTATTTCAACCATGCTGGCACATGTAACAGGAAACCCAACTTACCTCAGACCTAAATAACAGTAGCATGATAAATAAAAGTGAGACTGTCATTCTCTGGCATGACCCACATAAACCAAATTTCTAAAAATTGAAGAAAAGGTTACCTCAAATAGTCTACTAAAAAAATACTCTAGAAAGACAACCATTAAAAACTACCGTCACACAATGTCAAATCTTATATATTGTTTTCTCAGAAAATGATCAACTTCTAGCTTGTTTCTAGTGATAAATGTAACAAGACCAGTACACTAAACGAATTCACCTCACACTCAGATTGGAATACGGTTTATACCTTAACATCCTATAAAGACTGATAGGTCAACTTAAATTATGAACAAGTTACTTCAGGTCCCTAAATTTGTAAGAAAATTTGGGTGCTTTTCAAGTCAACTCTATCCACGGTCAGAATTTAGGTCACCTGAATGAAAATCAACATTATGAAGGACAATAATTTACTTTAATCTGAACTTACCCCTTCCTAGCTAACAATGCCAATACTTAAAATCATATTTCTATTTTCCTAGGAGGTCACTATTTACCCACTATTAGTCAAATAAACATATTGGGGGCCTTCTCCAATTTTCTTTTGTATTCATATCCCTCCATCCTTTCTATTCCCTTTCCAAGGAACTTTTTTTTTTTTTTTTTTTTTTTTTTTTGAGACAGAGTTTCACTCTTGTTACCCAGGCTGGAGTGCAATGGAGCGATCTTGGCTCACCGCAACCTCCGCCTCCTGGGTTCAGGCAATTCTCCTGCCTCAGCCTCCTGAGTAGCTGGGATTACAGGCACGCGCCACCATGCCCAGCTAATTTTTTTGTATTTTTAGTAGAGACGGGGTTTCACCATGTTGACCAGGATGGTCTCAATCTCTTGACCTCGTGATCCACCCGCCTCAGCCTCCCAAAGTGCTGGGATTACAGGCTTGAGCCACCGCGCCCGGCCCAAGGAACTTTTATGATAGTTTGTGACTAAGAAAATTTTAATAATTTCACCAATAGGTACCTTGTTTTAAATGAAGACGGACACAACATTTATTTATTTTTTTAATAAACCATAAAATTTAAATATTCAAATAAAAAGAAACAAAAATAGATTATTAAACCCAGCATGAATTTCTGGTTTTACTTTTCCTCTGGGGCATTGTAGGCTTGACTTACCTGGGATTAGAGTAATAAAGTTATCGATGCTGGTACAATAATGAATGAAGAAGTAAAAATGGGCAATGGCTTGACAAAATTTACCCTCAAATCTGGATCAGTAGGTCACTCAGGCCTACTGCAAAGACCTGACACTGGTCTTGTCTGTATAAAACTACTCTGGCTTTCCATTCTTACCACACGTCCTTCATCACAGCTTAGTGTTCCCTGCATTCTGATCCTTTTGCCCACTGACGCTCACTTCGATCTGTCAAAACATCAAGGGGGAAAATCCCCAAACCGAACTGACAAATAAACACTCTTAATGTGAACAATCATATTCAGACCGACCTCTTCCACAAAAATACAAGTGGATTTTTTATTCTTACATAACTCAAATACTGCTATTTTTTTCCTGCCTTTACTAAAATGGCATTTTCATTTACATCAACCAATTATTTTCTACTTGCTTCTAATTTTCTGAGTTTGCATTCTGTACCAGTTATTCTTTTTAAGCTTTACAATTTCCATTCCAGAATATCTGGTCTTTGACCAACTTTATCTAATTTTGTGAAGAAATTTGCTATGAATCAGTGAAAATCACAAAAGTAAAAAGGAAGCAATGAACAATAGTAGGATCTTGCTTCAGCATTCATATAATTTTTTATAAGAAAAACATTCATTTTTATTATGGGATCTAAAACCATGATCGTCTGATATGATAAGTCTTTTAGCAAACTCAAATGAGTCAACATTCAATATGGACAGCAAGCTAGCTCACAAGAAACGAAATGTAATGCACAAATATATTTGACTAGTAAAATCCCAGAGGCTTGGTAATAAAGTGCAGCAAACTTCCCTTATATTGAGTAAGAACTTCAGTAACCTCTGGATATTTTTGGTAAAAATTAAAGAAAAGGTACTGCAGTCAAGAGACGGGTAATCTTTACACTTCAAAAGACTGGCTGCCAGGGAACCACAGTGAAAAATCAGACCTGGAGCTAATGAAAAACCCTTGCTTGGAAGGAATGGGTTTTTCCAAAAATGCAAAATTATGATATATAGATACTTAGGATACTATGATCTGACAGGTTTACAGTGATAAAACAGCAAAGATAAACAGTTACAGTATTTATAACTTTAGTGTGTAACGAACACAGGTTTTTTGAATTGGCAGCAAGAAATTCTATGACAGCTCCTGAGACAAGTAATCCTATACCGTATATCCACCCCATGCCAGTGATGACCAGTCAAAATGGTAACACAGAGTAAAAGCGATCTACTGTATGTGAGTCAGAAAGTATTTGGAAAGTGACAAAATCGTATGTTATTAAATGACAAAACATATTTAGAGGCTTTATTTAAAAATCTCTCACTGTTCATTATCAAAGTTACAAGATTGCATACCAATAGACAGACTGTAAACATAGGAAATTTTCGTTAAGGAAAGATGGGTTTACTGTAATTCAATCTTTTACAAAAAATTACTTGCAAGTTATTGATAACAGAATTTCTCTTTTACTTTCTTAATTCTCTTGAAAATTAAACCAATGTTTCCACTCTCTCGAACTAAAGTTCAACCATGGTCACCTTAGGAAATACCCCTGTTTATTTGTTAATCGGAAATACAAATCGAGTGGCACACACTTCCATTTTCTTTTTAGGCCAAAGGTTTCAGCTTCATTATATTTTACAGAAGACTTGCAGTGGTCCTGTTAAGTCTTTCATGTCACAGCTGAGGTTTAATGATGGCAGTGGAGGAAAGTAGCGGTGATGCAAAGTAAGACCAGCCCAATTGCCTTATCTGACATGGAATCTTTTCCCTGTTGGGCTTGCAGCAGAGAAGTGTTTCTGGTCAGGTTGCCTCCATCAAACCTGATTGAAGCAGAAGGGTGACATGCTCTGATAAATCCCATTTAAGGATGATTCCGTTGAGGCAAATAGTTGAACCTTCAATCTGTTGGCTGTGGGATGATACTAATATGAAGAAAATTATCCGGGTAGCTCAGATGTTCACTCAGCCACTGGAGAGGTGTTTCCAACATTGGCTCAATTCCATGAATCATCACTTGATTCTTTCTTTCCCCATCTATTCCAAGAAAGAAATCCAACAATAATAAGACTCAAAACAGTTGAAGAAAAAATACTCTGTTGCCTTTTGAGAATCCTTAGTGCATTAAATGGATTTTAAACCTGTTTTGTCCCCTGAACAGGAAATGTAGACATGGAGAAAGTTAAACTGTTGCAGTATGTATCACCCAAAACAGAAACCTGAGGGTTACAATATATTCTGATAAAAATTCTGTTGCTCTATGTGAAAGTATTCATTCTTTCTTAATTACTGTGCTTACTTAAGATTGACGTTAATGAAACTACAGTGGCGAAAACAGCCCGTTGTACAAATGATCAAAATTTATTTTAGTTATACATTAAAAACTGTACTATATAGTTATTAAAAATGACAACTATATGAAGTAGGTCCATACATATTTTGAAAATGTAAAACAGAAATGTGATTAGAAATCATAAAAAATCAGATCAGTATTAGAGGTGTTTAATAAGACGTGAGCTTTAGTTGTTTTCAGTAAAGCATTCAAGTATGTATCAAAATGTCTTAGAGGTACTGGTTTAATAAGTTAAAATTTTAATCAGAAGGGATTAAGAATCTGACTGAGGGATTCCTGTGCTTGAGTTACAAAGCCTGACTGGTTTTTGTTAACATTCACTTGCTAATTAAAAGGAGGCTGCAATTCACAACTTTCTTTTAAATTCAATTGTATTCCAAATAAACTTAGGATTAATTTGGGGTTTTTCATGATTTTGGTGTGACGTACTGACAACTTTTAAAGTAAATGGAAACATTCTTGTCATAGGAAAACAAAGAAAGCAAAGTCAAACTCCTCTAATGAAAAAAAAAATTAGAACCATCAAGAAACTTTGTGTTATTCCTTTAGTACAATTCTGGGTTTGTCTCCTTTACCCTCTCTTCAAAATACAATGTATAAACTTCTCAGCTTTCTGGTGACAGAAGGCAAGGAAACAGGGAATCACGGAACTCTATAATGGAGAAATACCCTACGTTTTCCTTTCCGCTCTGTTCAAAATAACTTTTGAATCTGTAAGTGCTCTAATGTCTGGGCAAAATGAGCTGATGATGTATGGTGATAATGACTTGGCTGGCACCTGAAACAAGAGACCCTTTTAAAGAAATATTTAGACTTCCTGTTAGAGGCAGCACAGTCCCGGGAGGTGACAGTCAACATAGGACACAAAACACTACAGAGTTGATAAAAGAATGTCAAAAATAAAAACTTAACATACTAATAATTCCAAAGACAACCAAATAAAACATCCCAAACTCCCAAATCACTGTGCCATAGCTTAAAACAATTTTGAAAAAAGGTATGACTTCGTAATACTACTAACTTAAACAAAATGCTTTCGTTATTTTTTTGTTGCATTTATACATAATTTTTACACAGTTGTGATCAGTGTTAATATAATGATTTGTTTTCATAATAAAATATTAAGCTATATACAGAATACTATAGAAAGTATAGTATTAGTACTTTGGAGAGATCTTTTAAACGTTGGTATTCAAATGGAGAAACCCTCAGCTATCAGGAATGATTCACTGCTTGTAAGTTCTAGTTTACTAAAGCTTTACTGTATTAAATCTTTCCTAGAATATTTGAAAACATTTCCGGTGTCATTCTCTTCAAATTCTTATATTTCTTTGAAATATTTTAATATTCTCAGAATCTTCCTCCTACTTAGCACTGAGTCAAAAAATGAAAGAATAGTGGTGAAAGAGTAAAAGTTCCTTATCTCTAAAATTTTTCCTTAAGCCAGAGTCACCTTTGTATACTATGAAACAGCAGAAGAAACAAGTCACAACTCAATATCCATAATACTATGTCTAAAGCAATATTTAAATGTGGGAGCAGATACAATGTGGTATACAATCCACTGATAATACACAGTGTATCTGAAAGGCAAAAGGATAATTCAACCTTGTCACAACAAAAGGATAGTTGGAGTTTATGAGTTGTACAACAGAAGCTGGGGGACATAAGCACTATTCAAACACTGTGTAACAAGCCTAATAAATCCCCTTTCCCAAACCCTGAATAGGTAGCACTGACTCTCTGATTTAGAAGCTGGGGCCACTTTTAATTCATAACATAAAAGTGTTACTAACTAAATTTAGTTAACTAAGGAAAGAATCTAGGACTGTCATGTCCCTCAACAGAAAAGTTTCAGCTTTTAAATATATTATTTTGTCACTGCCTACATCTGTCTAAATATTTCACCTGGATTTATGTAGTTCATTTATTTTCTTTCCCCAGTAACACAATTTTAAACAGAGGAATTCTTAGGATAGGACAGCAGTTCCCTCGAGAGTTCAAACCTAAGTTTCTCTCTTATTTATTACTCTGTCACCAGTGCCTAGCATGGTACCTGACATACACAGTAATTAGTCAATAAATACTTTCATAGCTGGGATAATTTTGGTGCTGGTAGAATTGTACTATCACAATTAACGTTTCTGGAATGCTTTCTAATAGCTAGCCCTACCATGTAGAATAACTCTACCTGTAACAACTACTTTCGTTATTAAAACAACGAAGTCAAAAATGTTTCCAGATAAGCCAAGTGTATATGTTATCCTTAATTCATGGTACCATAAATAACAACAAAGCATGAAGGACATTTTGGCAATAACAAAACTAATACAAGAAAACAGGTCAGGTGTGGTGGCTCACGTCTGTAATCCCAGCACTCTGGGAGGTCAAGGTGGGAGGACTGCTTGAGCCTAGAGTTCTAGACCAGCCTGGGCAATACAGTGAGATCCTGTCTCCACAAAAAATAAAAAATAAAGTAAACAAAGATTAGCTTAGCTGGGTGTGGCAGTGCATGCCTGTAGTCCCAGCTACTTGGGAGGCTAAAGTGGGAGGACTGCCTGAGCCCAGGAGGTCGAAGCTGCAGTAAGCTATGATGGCACTACTGCACTCCAGCACTGGCAACAAGTGAGACCTTGTGTAAAAACAAAAATTAATAAATAAAACAGTTAAAAAAAATCAGTAGATAGCTCTTTTTTTCTTGCAGCACAAAGGAAACACTTGATACTGCTAAAGTAAACAATATTTTTGGTAAATATGTCTTTGTGTTTCAAAATGGGAATCTAGACCTTAATACTTAGAATGAGAAATGTCACCACAAAGAAAATGACTCAGGAGAAAAATGTTACTGTACGCCTCTTCCACTCAGGTTTTTTTTAAAAAGCTAGCTTGAAGCTTTAAGTTAGGCAAACATATGAGACACTAATCATGTGAACTAGTTCTATATGAACTTCTTTTATACAGGACACTTTTTGGGGAGTAATTTTTGTCATGATTCCAAACTTACAGTGTACTCTTTCTAATATAAGATATTCTTTTACATAACTGCAGTAATTACAATAAAAAATAATATTGAATACTATTTTGTAGTCCATATTAAAATTTATCAACTATCCCAATAATGTATTTTTCTTCAATCTAAGATTCAGTCCAGGACTGTCTTAGTCTGTTTGTGATACTATAACTGGATAATTTATAAAGAACAAACATTTATTTCTCACAGTTCTAGAGGCTGGGAAATCCAAGATCAAGGTGCTGGCACCTGGTATGGGCTTCTTGCTGTGTTCTCATATGGAAGACCATGGAAGCACCAGAGTCAATGACCCCACTCTTGAAAACCCTTTTTGTACCAGCATTAACCCATTTATGAGGGCAGAGCCCCCAAAAGGCCTTGCCTCCCAACACTGTTGCATTGGGGATTAAGCTACTAACACATGAATTCTGGGAGACCCATTCAGGTCATGTCAAGGATTCACATATTGCATTTAATTTTCATGTCTCTATTCTCTTTATATCTGCAACCATTTTTTAGAGCTTTCCACATTTCTTAACCTTTTTGGTTTTGAAGAGTACATCTCATTATTTCATAGAATGTCCACATAGCACCTTTTAAAACCAGCATCTACTTAAAAGTGAATATTTTTAAAAATGTTACATTTTAAGAAAAACATATTCAGGTAGATTTTGGTTATATGAATAGAATGGTTAAGAATTACACATAGGAAAAAAAAAAGAAGAAAAAAAAAGAGAAAAATCACATTAACCACACAAGTCATTAATGAAAATCATGAAGTTAAAATAATGGTAACTTCTTATGTATGTATTAATGATGCCTATATCTAGACATATATACAATGAATGTTATCAATATTCAATAATATAAATGAGACATAAAGGAGAAAGAGTTGATGCATCACTAGTTAGCAAGGTACTAATGAAAGACAAATTGGGGGTTAGGCAACATGAATTCCAATTCTGGTAATGAAGGGCTCTAAAGGTCTCACATCTCTTTGAAGCTGTTTCTTTTTTCTTTTCTTTCTTTCCTTTTTTTTTTTTTTTTGAGATGGAGGCTTGCTCTGTTGCCCAGGCCGGAGTACAGTGGCACAATCTCGACTCACTGCAACCTCCACTTCCTGGGTTCAAGCAATTCTCCTGCCTCAGCCTCCTGAGTAGCTGGGATGACAGGCTCCTGCCACCACGCCCAGCTAATTTTTTATATTTTTAGTAAAGACAGGGTTTCACCATGATGGTCAGGTTGGTCTTGAACTCCTGGCCTCATGATCCACCTGCCTTGGCTTCCCAAAGTGCTAGGATTACAGGCATGAGTCACCACGCCCAGCTGAAGCTGTTTCTTTATACATAAAATGAAGATGCCTGTATAGATGTATGGTTTGAAAATCTAGCTGACCATCAGAATCATGTGGGAAATTAAAAGAATAGATATATGAACTGAGCTCCTCCCCAGACTTTCTGAATCAATTTCTGGGGTAAATTCTTTTTTTTTAAAAAATGTTCCCTAGAATTAACTTTACGATCATACCAGTGTAGAATTTTTCTACTAACAAAATTTTATACAGAAACCCAATATACAACACAGGTAAAGATATGACAGCTTTTGCTCATGTGGGATTGAGACCATTTCCTAAATTCTGCTTGCTGATTTATAACCCATAATGGCCTCTTATTT